AACCAAATTGAGATTAATATATTATGGATCTTTACGTGTGTTTTATAATCAACATAATTATAATCCTTTAAATATTGAGGATCAACATAATTAGGTGTATTATAATCCCTTAAATATTGGAAGGATATGATAAGCATGATTTGACCGGATTTTCAATTGTTGTTTAAAAACGATAAAATATGCTTTGAATGGAATTTAGCAACTAAAGTTCAATAAAATAATACTTACCTATGATATTTGCATCATTTGAATGGTAACAGTCATTATATTTGACCATAATGATTCTATACCTTAATTACATAGGTTTTTTTAATTTGAATTTCAAATGATTGACCACCAATTTTCAAAAAGATTTAAAAAAGTTACTAATAAAAGTAAAAATTAAATTTTTAGGCGAGAATTCAGTTGTTATTTCAGGTAAATGTCAAACTTTTTTATATTTATATATATATATATATATATATATATTGATATGAGAATATTTGTGGAAAATATACACAAATTTTATACATAATAATAGTGCAAATCAAGGTTCTAATAGCATTTCTAGTGTGTAGTGTAACGGTTCACACTCAAAAAGAACATGCCACATGACATAACATGAATGTAAATATCAATATGGAATTATTTGAAACAATCCTAAGGTTGTGTTTGTTAAAGAAAAAAACTCAAATCAAATTAATTATACTCAAAATCTAACTCAACTCCACTATCCTCAATATTATCGATATAGTTAAATAATAATAATCAATCATCAAATAATAACAACCAATTATTTTTACAAATCATATAAACTTTAATTCTCTTTTTAATCCACTCACATAATTTTAACTAACCATCATTTTATATCATCTCTCTCCTACTTTTACATCAAACCAATTTTAATTATTTTATTTTAAATATTATTTTAATATAAACACAAAATTTCACTAACAACTAACTACACTACTTTTTCTAAATTAACCCTAGTTAACTAAAAAAAATTTACTTTGATTTAATTCACTCAAATTATTCCTTTAACAAACACATCCTAAAAATGTGTTTGGTAAGCATCATAAGCTATTTTATAGCTTATAAGTTTTTTTTATTCAGATAAGCATGATTTGGTAGGATGATCGTCTTCCCCGGTTGGGCCGGCGAGCACACGGTGGTAGCTCCCCTGGCCTTCGCGGCCTTTTCTGTGAAGATGCGCTGATCGGAGGATGCTTTTTCGCCGGGGAGAAGGTCGCGCCGAGTTTCCGGTTCTCGCCTCGGAACTGGTAGCTAGTGACGGCCGGCTATTCCTCCTCCGGTATCTCCGCCGCGGCGGCCTCGGGCGCTCTTCCGGAGAGGGCTGCGGCCCCGATTTCCCAATCTAGGGTTAGGGGTGGAGACTCGTCCGTCCAATTTGTACTTCACTGTTGATCGAAGTCGCGATTGTTGGCTCTGGTTTGGGGATTTGGTTGGCTCAGGTATAGGTTGCGGGGAGGCTCTGGTTTCGGCTGTTGACGACCCCATCACCGCCCTCGTCCCCGTTCGCCGTCACTCGCAACTCGAGCTCTGTCTCGTCCGAGGGAATCTGCTCCAATTCGCCGATTCGGTGCTCGAAGGACTGGGTTCGGGGTGCCGGTTCGGGGTGTCGGTTTGCTGTCGACTTGCCTGGTTCCGGTTGTCGGTCAGCGCCTTCTGGGCCGATCAAATTTGCTCGAGGCTCGGACCTTTGTTGATGATTGGTTTTGGATGGGGTGTTTTGGTCTCCGGGGTGCTAGTGGAGTTTGTTCGATTGGACAAGGGTTGTGCCCGTTGTTTCCTGACTCAGTTAGGCACTCTCTTGCAGTTTCTGAGTCGGAAGCTTGGGTCACTCGGCCATTGTTGTGTTTGGCGTGTTATACCGACTGGGGAAGGGCTTTCTAATTGAATTTTCAGTGTTTGTTTGTTTGTTTTAGTGTTTGTTTGTATGTTTTTGTCGAGTCTTGGTTGGTGTGTTCGTTTGCTTTTGTTTGGGAGATGAATTCAGGCTAGGCATTGTGCAGTGGCTCTGCGTTTCATTTTCCTTTTTTTTCTTTTTGTTGAGTTCTCTAGGCCGCCATGTGCGAGTCCTCTCAGTTTGTTATCTTCGTGGCTTTTTAGGCGTGTTTTTGGTTTGGGCTGGTGGCCTCTGTCTTATTACCCTGTTGGGGTCTTAGGTATTACCCTGTTGGGGTCTTGTAATTTGTTTTTGTTGCACTTTTGTGCTCTTATATATTACGTCTATCGTTTCGGCAAAAAAAAAAAAAGTCATAAGCTATCAGTTGTAAACTCGAAATTCACTTATAAGTTATCAGATAACTTATAAAATATCAGCTAAATTTACCAAACAGCCTAACTCCTTGTAACTTCCACTCTTCTAGTGCACTTTTTTGTTCAATATCTTGACCATGTAAACAACCAAATAACTTAAGGGCATGCTTGTTTATAAATTAATCCGCTCAATATTTTAGTTCATTAAATATGCATCATTAATTAATTAAATATACATCATTATATATATATATATATTTAATTTAAATATAATAAATGCGCATCTTGTATGAACTAAGTATACATCATTAATTAACTAAATATGTATCATTATATATTTAATTTAAATATAACAAATATGCAGTATCGATGAACTAAACATGCATCACAAATTAACTAAATATGCATCATAAATTTAATATTTTAGTTAACTAAAGTTAATTTTGATAGTGATATAGTTAGTTGTTAGTGGGATTTTGAATTTATATTAAAATAATATTTAAAATAAAATAATTAAAGTTAATTTGGTATAAAAGTATGAGATAGATGATGTGAAATGATAACTAAAATTATGTGAGTGGATGAATAGTGAATTAAGGTTTTGATATAATGTGTAAGAATGAAAGGTCTGTACTATTTAATTATTTGAATAATATTAATGATAGTGAGATTGAGTTAAAGTTGAGTTAGATTTTGAGTATAGATTAAATGTGAGTGAAATATTCTGTAAACAAGCATTCCCTGATTTGAATTTCATTTTATTTCAACCTCTTGATTGATTGAACGTAATTTATAGTAAGCATCAATTTGTGTTTCACCAATTTATGGAAACATAGTTGATAGGTAATATAACCGCATATAGACCTTCACAGACCGAATCGACCAAAAGAGAAACGTAGCTTCAAGGATCGATCCCACACGCTTGATCCCACACGCTCGATCCCACATCCAGCAGGTAGAGGTCACCTACCCCGATGTTGTGGAATATAGTAATACTTAGATCCTTACACATCGAGCCTCATACATCAAGCCTCACACATGGAGCCTCATATTGATATGGAATATAGTAGTACTTAGACCCTCACACATCGAGCCTCATACATCAAACCTCACACATCGGTCATATGCCTAGGATCGATACCACAGTGAGCCAGATTGATCACACGGAGCTCGACCCCAAGCCGATTTTAGATCGGTTCAACTCTACACCCAACCCTAAGCCGAAGAGTATCCGTACGTAAATAGTGAGAACATTAACGAAAGCAAGACACATTTTTATTACTCAACAACCATAATATTACTATTGATCTTCTCCTTCCGTCTCCCCATACTAACTTAAGCCTCGGAGGGTTTTGACGCCGAAAAACCTCTGGCGTCCTTTTGCAGGTACCTACGTAGCTCCAACTCCAACCGAATAATCGGAGAAGAGGACCACACCTTGGAACCGAGGACCGTTCTGGACCGGAGACACCCAAGCCAAACCTTATCAATAGTCATAAATATGTATTCAATTACAAGGGTACAAATTTCTTTGGTATCATAGTTATTACTGATTAATTGTTACTATTATTCTTTGACTTATAAATTATTTAGCACATGTACAATTATAATGTAGGTTTCAGTGATTTCAACATACGACAAATCTGATTCTTCTAGCACAACAAGTGATGACTCACTTTCACTTAGCAAATAATTACTAGATGACTCACTCAAATATGATATTTGTCTTGAGAGTTGTGGTGTCATTCAAACATGTCCGGTACGTTCATATTCATGTGATTATATTCTCAATTATTAACAAAAACAAATTGTCCTCATAGTAGAACGTAAAGTGGTCGACGCTACATTCGCTGTGATAGAGAACAATGTCATGAATTTATTCTCAACCACTACTTCAAATGTGAAAATGCTAAATATACACTTGAACATTTTCAACGTTAATTCCGAATGGATATTGGTTATACAAAATTATTTGACAAGCAATTGAAATCATGATGACTATTTTACACAAAAATTCGATGCAACGGGAAAACGTGGGTTGAGACATTTACAAAAAATTATCGCAACTCTAAGTATGCTTGTGTATGGTTGTGATGTTGATCTCCTTGATGAACATGTACAAATTGGTGAAAGCACAACAATTGAAAGCATAAAACTTTTTTTTGATGTTGTCATTGGAATATTTAAGAACACCTAATAAAATTGATGTTGAAAGCTTATTAAAAGAAGGCGATCAGAATCGATCATGAACTTTATAAGACCCTGGACGAAATGCGTTAAATATTTCATTTGGTTGTTTTTTGTTTAGAGAAAAAAAAATTAAGTTCATAAAAACAAAAGGATAATGTTACTATAATAAAAGTTGTGAAATTTAAGCTATAATTAATACTAAATATTATATATAAAAAAAATTAGTAGTATTTTAGAAGAGTGAAAATGAGGGAGGTAATCTTTTTATTTCTTACAAATAAAAAATATGCTGTAAAAATTTTTGGTCGTTATGAAGGTGGTGGTGATCACTGATTGCACTAAAAATTATTTTATTAATATTTTAATACATATAGTACTTTTTTCCAATAAATTCATATAAAAAATAACAATTCAATATCCAAATAATTTAAAATATTAAAATGTTTAAATTAATTTATTAAATAATTTATAAATCTCTATTTTATTTAAACACGTGTAATTATTTATATTAAAAATAATTTTAGATATAACATAATAAATTAAAAAATCGAACGAATCATACTAATTCAACAGGCTGGTGCTAACTAATTAGCTAGCAAACGCTTTATTCAAGGACACTGGACCCGTCGCCAGACGGGTTCCCTTTATTTCTAGTCGGAGTGTCCGGTCCAGTTTGCAAAAAATAGGTAAACCATGATTCATGTTGTTTATAAATTTAATTTATAAACAATCATAATATTGTTTTCTCGGCATAGTACGGACCACATGGTCTAGGAAAAAAAACGACCAAAACAATAAACCCACAAAATAATTTCAATGCTAGGCTAAGAAAGATGAAATAGGGATCACAATCATTTTGCCGTCTTTTGGTCATGCAGCACTTGTTTGTAAGTGCACAGCAAAGAGGCTCGCATGTTTGCTATCTCTATTAGCATTTCCAGAGCTGCCAAAAATGCCCGGAGCATGAATTAAACAGTTGAATTCAGTGCATGAAATATAAGCACACTTTAATTAATAAAATCATCTAAGCTCAAGGGGAACAAAAGCATTCTAATACCTGTCTCGAATGACAGTTGAGTTGCACGAAGCTTAGGGGACACGAGAGTTCCGAACATAGAGAGGGATTTGGATCTTTCTCTTTGAGCCTGCCAAGTTTGTTTTCCAAAGATTAGATCAACTCTACTAGAATATTAAACAATACGACTTCAAAATTGCAAAATCCCAAATGGTAAAACAACATCAACTGCTCAATATATATAAGCATAGCTCCTACTGTTTAGTGGTCAGAGGACAAGTGTGATAGAATTCGAAATGAATGACTCGTGTGAAACGAGCAAAAAAAAAATAAAATTCAATTCTTATAATATTAACGGGAATCAATAGTTGCATACTCACTTGATTATCGGGAGTAACAGGAGATCCACCACTAGCCCTTCTCTCGAGAGGTTCTGTACATTTAAAAACACAGATATTAAATAAAAGTTGACACAAGGAAAGGTGAAAACTCAACAAACACAAATGAGCAACCGTGGTAAATGTCCTGCGCCATGGCTGGACGAAAATGCTACATGGTGCAAGAAATAAGCCGTGACTCAATTTTATAAGCAAACATACACAAGAAACCAATGACAAAACTATTCATGAATTTGGGCCACTGACATGGTTGACCAATTCATGCAAAAGACATAGCAAACTGCTGATTCCTGAAAAGAATCATTAAACCCAACAATTTAGACATCGTGTGGAAAAACAAAGGCATACGGGGGCTTTGAGGTGTATCATGATTTTGTTCTCGTGGGCTCTCAGTAGATTTGTTTTGCAACAACTCGTCCTCCTCAAATTTGGCTTCTTCAGAATGCTTCTCAGGATCATCAGAGGATGCCCATTTGCTCAGCGTGAAATGTGGCGACTCCATGTTATGATCACCTGGAATGATAGATGTTAGTTAATTTATTAAGGCATGAAGCTCGTGCAATTTTAGTATTTGGTGTTGTCTCTTCACAAGTGGCGAATGAGAAATCCTTCAGCGACGGACTTGGAACAGAAAGCTCCCGTAAAAAATCATATTTATTTGCATTTGTCGAATCTTAATATGTATCCTCCCCATAAATTAAACGAAAATTTGAGTCACGTATTAATTGTATGTAAGAAAGTTTCTGAGATTGAATGGCCCTCCAGCGGACCTCAAAGTTTTCACCTCACTTCATTTACAAAGATTAAAAAAGGTCAAAGACAATTGAAGTACCATTGTGTACTTGCAACGTCGTTGAAGCATGGTGAGATTTGAGGTCAAACAAGACGCTGCTCACACGTAAAGCACCCATTGACTGTCGGGCGCTGGCTAAATCCAGCCATCCCTGCAAAAACATAAAATTTGGGATATGATGTATCTAGCTAACACGTGGATCAACAATCAGTTAGAACAAGCAAGCGCAATTCAAAGGCTCAATCACTTGCTCGTCATAGAAAACGAGCTGAAGCCCCAATTTTTCTCATAAGATGCCTAATATACTGAAGAGGCAAACCATTTTCTAATATTTCATCAATTATTCAACAAGAGTTAACTGCACAAAATAAGCATTATTTCAACCCAATGCACACAAGTAAAACTTCACAAATCATAGCTGCATATAATTATTTTTGCTCTGTTAATAATCTCTTGTATACTTCAAAATTAAGATTTTCTTGAAATTGCGACCTCCAAGATCCCAACTCATTTCTCTCAAATTCTCAATCAACTGTGTTCCGACAAGAAGATTCAAGGAACAAATGGGCAACCCAATTAATCAAAGATTTAATTTTTATGCAGAAATATACTGAAAATCACTATCCATATGACACAGATAAACAAAAAAATAGATCAAGAAAATCAAATTCTGTTTTTTACCTGGCGAAGGGATGAAGATAGAGAATCCATTAGGGTAAGATAAGTATCCATGGAGTCCAAGAAATTCAATATATGCTGTTCGCTTTCCACCAATTCATTGGTTGATTCAGTCGTATTATTCGAGCTCTGCATATTTTTTTGTAAGAAAAAAGAATGTAATCTTGAATCCTTCGAGCGGTGGAAGGTTTGGTCGCTCTTCAGCCGGACACAGAAATCACCTCGCCGTGGAAGGTTTGGTCCGCCTTCATCGTCGCTGGTAGAGGTAGAGCTCGAACTCGCCGGAAATTGCTGAAATGCCGGGATTCTCGCTGCTCGCATCGGCCATCGGGTGTTCGCTCGCGGGCTTTCGCCGGTGAAAATGGTGCCCCTCGGTTCGCCCCTGGTGCTGTTCGGTCGCGAAGGAGACTTCTCGGTGAATCTGGAGACCTGTCGTTCGCGGTGGCGATTTCTTGGCGTGGTTGTTGTCCACTCCACGTCGGGATGCTTGCGAGATGCCGGCGGAAGAGGGCTGCTGCACGGCGACGGCGGAAGGAGACTGCACGATCGATGACTGTCCTTAGACGGTTGGGTGGCGTCGCCGGAGGTGAAGGGCCGGTCGTATTTTGCTCGATTCTGCCGAGAAGGGAGAGAGACGACGGAAATTTTGAGGAGGAAGGAGATGAGGGGCGATTTGCAGTGTTCTGGAACGAGAAGAAGAAACGAGATTGCGGCTCTCTCTCTCGCTCTCGGCTTTAAGGTAGTGTTTGGTTCGAGGGATTTGGAGGGAAAGGGAGGGGAGGGGATGGAAAATTTTAGTTTTCTCCTGTTTGGTTGAAAAATTAGGAGGGTAGGGAGAGGAAAATTTTAAGTAAATTTCCCTCCCCTCCCTCACTTTACCTCCCCTCCAAAATTGGAGGGATTTGGAAGGAAAATGTGTTAAGATGGTGTGAAAATACCATTTAGTCCCTACTTTCAATTGTTTTTTATTTTTTATCTTATTTCATTAAGGGTAAGTTTGTCATTTTAATTTTATTTTCCCTTCCTTTAATTTTTGAACCAAACAAGGTTTACTATTTTCCCTCCCTTCCCCTTCTGAATAATCCCTCCAAACAAGGTAAAATTATTTTACATCACCTCCCCTCCCCTCCCTTCCCCTCCATTAAAATCCCTCCCCTCCCTTCCCCTCCATTGAACCAAACACACCCTAATAGAGGGGAGAAAATTAGGGCTTGGACAAAAAGTGTTAATTAGGCCGAAAAATTTAAGACATATAGGAAACCAAATTTATAGGAAAATAAATTTGTAAACCAAATTTTTTGGATTACTTATTTTCCTATGAGCATGATTGGATACAAGTTCAATCCAAATTTTTTTTCATTTTTAACTCAACCACTTTTTTTAACTTAACTTTAACTCAACCCACTATCATTAATATTATCAATATAATTAAATAATATCAATCAATCATTCTTACACACAACATCAACCTTAATTCACTATTCATCTACTCACATAAATTTAACTAACTATCACATCATATCTTCTCTCTCTTACTTTTATATCAATTTAATTTTAATTATTTTATTTTAAATATTATTTTATTATATCCACTAACAACTAACCATACCTACTTTTTCAAATTTAACCAACCCAAATAAAAAATCCAATCAAACAAAAACAAATTTATATCCAATCATGCTCATAAATTCTAATGTCCGGATACAAATATCGAAAATGGGGGAGAAACAGAAATAAAAACGACTTTACACTATTAAGCCGGAAACTACGGAAATAATTTAATTTAATAACTAGTAAAATAAATCCTAATAATTCATACACATAATTAAGTAAATAAAACACATAACAATCACAAATATTTATCACTTAGCGATAATAGCAGATAAAAACATATAAAGACAAACCGTAAATAAAATAAACGAGCAGTCAATAAGATAACCGAAAATTAAACAAAACAAGGCAATTATTCATTTATAAGCAAATAAATAATAATATAAAAATCATGAAAATTCTAATAAACGAACGGGGCACTACAAAATAATTACTAGATGACTCACTCAAATATGATATTTGTCTTGAGAGTTGTGATGTCATTCAAACATGCTCGGTACGTTCATATTCATGTGATTATATTCTCAATTATTACCAAACACAAATTGTCCTCATGGTGGAACGTAAAGTGGTCGACGCTACATTCGCCGTGATAGAGAACAATGTCATGAACTTATTCTCAACCACTACTTCAAATGTGAAAATGCTAAATTTACACTTGAACATTTTCGACGTTGATTCCGAATGGATACTGGTTATACAAAATTATTTGACAAGCAATTGAAATCATGATGACTATTTTACACAAAAATTCGATGCAACGGGAAAACGTGGGTTGAGACATTTACAAAAAATTATCGCAACTCTAAGTATGCTTGTGTATGGTTGTGATGTTGATCTCCTTGATGAACATGTACAAATTGGTGAAAGCACGACAATTGAAAGGATAAAACGTTTTTTTGATGTTGTCATTGGAATATATGAAGAAAACATTTGAGAAGGCCTAATAAAATTGATGTTGAAAGCTTGTTAAAAGAAGGCGAGTAGAGTCGGTCATGAATTTTATAAGATCCTGAGCGAAATGCGTTAAATATTTCATTTGGTTGTTTTTTTTAGAAAAAAAAGTAAGTTCATAAAAACAAAAAGATAATGTTACCGGCTACAATAAAAGTTGTGAAATTTAAGCTATAATTAACACTAAATATTATATATAAAAAAATTAGTAGTATTTTAGAAGAGTGAAAATGAGGGAGGAAATCTTTTTATTTCTTATAAACAAAACATATACTGTAAAAAAATTTTGGTCGTGGTGATGGTGGTGGTGGTCATTGATTAAACTAAAAATTATTTTATTAATATTTTAATACATATAGTACTTTTTTGCAATAAATTAATATAAAAAATAACAATTCAATATCCAAATAATTTAAAATATTAAAATGTTTAAATTCATTGTTAAATAATTTATAAATCTCAATTTTATTAAGGGTTAATTGCATTTAAAATCCTAACCTTTTGTTTAATAACAAATAAAACTCAACTTTTTCAATTTAGCAAAAAAATACCTAACCTTTAATAAGTATTGCAATTGTATCTCAAAATCAGTTTTCGGCCAAGGCACGCCGGAAAAACGAGCTCGGAGCCGGCTGTGCATAGAGGGTCACCGGAAATGGAGCTCACAGCTGGGCTCGAAGGAGGTCGCTGGAAGTCGAGCTCGCGGCTGGGGGAAGCTCGCCGGAGAGAGAACGTCGTGGAGGTCGGCGTCGGGGAGAGAACGTCGTGGAGGTCGGCTGGAAATTTGCGAATAAGATGACCGGAAAAGTCGTCACCGGAAAAATTTACCGATTCCGGCGAAGGTGGACGTTACTAGATGCGACTTTAGGAGAGGAGTTCAACAGTACCTTCAAATTCACGTGGGTCAAAGCGAGTCACCGGGAATTTGCGAAAGAACGCCGGAGAAAATTTGTAGATCTACGAGCTTTGACCAGAAAATTGTAAGCCTTATAGTCGGAATTTTTTCGCGAAACTCGGATATGTTGTCGGCACGAAGGAGAGCTACAAGATCATGTAAAAATTTTCAAAATCTGACGAAGTTGACCGGCGGCGGGTGGCGGTTGGCGGCGGCGGAAGGTGATTGGCGGCCGGAAACTGATTTTGAGACACAATTGCAATATTTATTAAAGATTTGGTATTTTTTTGCCAAATTGAAAATGTTGAGTTTTATTTACAATTAAATAAAATGTTAGATTTTAAATGCAATTAACCCTTTATTTAAACATGTGTAATTATTTATATTAAAAAAATTTAGATATAACGTAATAAATTGAAAAATCGAATCATACTAATCCAACCGACTGATGCTAACTAATTAGCTAGCAAATGCTTTATTCAAGCACACTCGACCGGTCGCCAGACCGGTTCCCTTTTTTTCTAGTCGAAGTGTCCGGTCAGTTTGCAAAAAAAAAATAGGTAAACTATGATTCATGTTGTTTATAAATTTAATTTATAAACAATCTTAATATTATTCTCTCGGTTGGGAGCGTATTCATTCTCTCGGTTGGGAGCGTCAGTTTGATCGAAATTTGCAGTGATAGTGTTTTGTTTTGACATTGATTGAAAGATTTAGGGTGCACTAGAATCTCGAGAATTTCATGGCCAGAACCATAAGTCCCAATAAGGATGATGATCTATCACAGCATATGGAAAATTTCTCACTTTCGGATAGAGAAGCATTGTTGGTGGACCTAGCTCAAGAGGATATTCGATACAATGCTGATGAATGCCAACGTAGTTTGTTTGTCAAAATTGTGGGTGACAGAATAACCAGTTGGATTGGGGTCAAGAGGTCAATGAGCCAAATATGGAGACTCACGCACCCCATGGAAGTTAAGGAGTTGGAGCCTAATTTCTTTCAATTTATTTTTCAGAGTCGGGAGGATCTTCACAAAGTTCTTAAAGGCACCAATTGGAGTTTTGAAAATCAATACTTGATCCTCAAAGAATGGAGAGACGGTCTGCATAGCAAGCACCCTTGTTTCCAAGAGCTCAATATCTGGGTTCAAGTTCTCAATGTGCCGCTCAATTGGCTCAGCATAGACGTTGGTATCAAAATTGGTAAGGTTTTTAAGGCAGTTGACAATGTGGTTGTTGCGAACTACGGAAATCATGGAGGTAAATTTATGCGTCTTCTAGTCGCTTTGGACTTATCAGAGCCTATTCCTCGCTGCACAAAAATTAGGCTTGGTGATCAAATAGTAGCCGTAGGTTTCAAATACGAAAAGTTAAGAAGCTTGTTCCACTACTGTGGATTTATAGGGCACTTAGATAAAGGGTGTCTCAAGAGGGTTGAAGATATCAAGTCCAACAGTGTTAAAGAGGGCCAGTACGGAGAGTGGCTTAGAGCAGCAGAGAATCAGTTTTGGGCACCTAATAACAACACCTCCGGTCAAAAAGTCCACACCATAGCCCGAACAGTCCTCATCAAACATCATCCCCTACTCACCATACTCAAAAACAAGCCACGGGCAGTCAGTCTTCTCACAGGAACCAACTAATAATTCATCAGTCAGAATCCAATCAGAATATTAAATCATCTGCTCATGACTCATCAAACAGCTCGCACACTGATCTTCACATTACCACAGGAGTCTCCAAGATCCTTAACCATACAACAGAGTCTTTACAACCTATGGAAACTGACACCAGAATCTTACCCCTCACCATTGTGAAATCTTCCATGACTTCTCAAACCAAATCCAAAACTTGGAAAAGGGTTGGCTCTAAAGAAGGTAGATTGCAAAGACAAGAAGAGATTTCCCAGAATATGGATAGTTCTACAAGTGGTAAAAGATCCAGACCAGAACCAACAGGTGATAAGGAAACATGGGAGGATCAATCCCAACAAGTAACAGATAGCAAAAAGCTAAAAGCATCTTTGAAGGAGATGGAGGTTGCCAGCCTGAAATGGCACCCAAGTTCTTCATGTTAGCTGCGGTGTGGAACTGTAGAGGGCTGGGTGGGCCCTCTACAGTTTCCCAAATCAGGGAGACTCTGAAGTCTCATCACCCAGTCTTTATGTTTCTGTCTGAGACCAAAAAAACTGCTGCTTTTGTGAAAACTGTTCTTAGAAGATTAGGCTTTGAGGAGAGATTTTCTCTGGTTGATCCTCAAGGCCTTAGTGGGGGTCTTTTGCTTTTTTGGAATCCCTCTGTAAATATTTTGCAAATTTACAGTTCCTCTTTTTTTATTGCTGTTTGTTTTCAGTTGTCATCTTCTGAACCCCAATGGGGAATCTTTGTGTACATGAGCCCCTGCAGGAATCAGAGAACTATTCAGTGGGCTACTTTAGAATCTGAAAAGCAGAAATAGGGAGAAAATTGGTTTTTGGTGGGTGACTGGAATGACCTGAGGTCCAGTTCAGAGAAACTTGGAGGAGTTACAAGGCCTGCAAGCAGCTTTCTAGGCTTCAATTCATTTATCAATTCTATGGAGATGGAGGAAGTCAGAATGCTAGGCTATCAGTACACATGGTGTAACAACAGAAGCTATGAAGGAGTAGTGGAGGAGAAATTAGACAAGGCCTTTAGCTCAATGGAATAGACAAGGCCTTTGGCTCAATGGAATGGATGCAGAAGTTTCCTAATGCCAAAACTCTAAACTTGGTGACTAGCCTCTGATCATTCAATCATTCTAATTGATCCTGGAGTTCCATTAGAAAGAAAGAACATGAGATTTCAATTTGATAAAAGGTGGATTGAAAAGGCTGACCTAACTGGAGTGGTGGAAAGAGCTTGGCAACTTCCAGTTTTGGGCACTCCATTTTATCAGCTCAAGGAAAAAGTGAAGAACACTCGCATTGCCCTATTGAAATGGAGCTCTCAATTCCATACTCAAAATCAGCTTCAAATTGCTACCCTCACACATAAGCTAAAAGCTCTTAGAGAGGATACTTCTGAAACCAAATGGGACAATTGGAACTCAACAAGACAGGAGCTGGATAAGGCACATCACAATGAAGCTCTTTATTGGCAGCAAAAGGCAAGAGTGAATTGGCTAAAACACGGAGACAGCAATTCCAAATTCTTCCATGCCTACACATTGCAAAGGAGAAGGATGAATGCTATTACTAGATTACTATCAGCCAGAGGGGAAGAACTCACATCACATCAGGATATCCAAGCTCATATCTCTGAGTTCTATGCTTCTCCTTTCTCCACAGAAGGCTCCTGGGGTGGGGAGTCTATGCTGCACCTAATAACTCCATCAATATCTCAGGAGATGAATCATACTCTTTTGATAACTGTTGAGGAAGATGAGATCAAATCAGCCTTATTTAGCCTACATCCTGAGAAGGCTCCTGGTGAAGAGGGTATGAATGCTCTTTTTTACCAGCACTTTTGGATTATTATTAAACCTGATTTTATGGCTGCTGTTTTAAGTTTCTTTCAATCTGGACAAATGCTTCAATACTGGAACCACACTATTCTCTCTTTGATTCCTAAATGTAATTCACCTGACACAATCTGCAAGTTTAGACCAATAGGCCTATGTACAGTGGTTTATAAAGTGATTTCTAAGATTCTTGCTCTCAGACTGAAAACATGTTTAGATGGTTGTATTAGTGGTTTCCAATCAGCCTTTCTCCAAGGGAGGCAACTTCTGGATAATGTCATTATTGCACAGGAGGCCTTTCACTTCTTGAACAGACACTCTACTGGTAAGAACTATTTTATGGCACTGAAGCTTGATCTAATCAAAGCATTTGATAGAGTTGAGTGGATCAGCCTCAAAAAGATAATGCTCCAGATGGGTTTCCACTTAGACTTTGTCAAGCTTATTATGACATGCATTTCAACCACTTCTCTCTCTTTTAAGATTAATGGTGAAATCAGTGGCTTTGTGTCTCCTTCCAGGGGTATCAGGCAGGGAGACCCCCTCTCCCCATATCTATTCATAACTGTGGCAGAACTTCTCTTAGCTCTCATTATAAATGCTACTAACTCTGGACAGCTGAAGGGTCTGAAACTATCTCAGTCTGGTCCATCCATCTCTCACCTTCTCTTTGCAGATGACTCCCTATTTTTTTGTAGAGCAGGGGTAGATCAAGCAGCTATTCTGATGGACATTCTGACCAGATATAAATTGTTCACAGGACAAGCTGTGAACCTCCAAAAATCAGCAATTTTTTTCAGTAGAAATTCTCCTTCTCACCTTCAAGACCATATATGTGCAGCCTTGCAGGGTATTCAGAAACACAGATCTACTAGGTACCTTGGGTTACCACTTGGCATAGGCAGGTCCAAGAAGGAGGTTTTTGAATACCTTATTGAATCCACTCAGAGCAAACTTCAGAGTTGGAAGGCTAAACTGCTATCCTCTGCTGGCAAAGTTGTGCTTCTGAAATCAGTGTTACAGGCATTACCTATATTCACTATGTCCTGTTTCAAGTTGCCTATCTCTATCTGTTCTGCAATTTCTAGCTTATGTGCCAGATTTTGGTGGAAAACAAACTCTAAGGAAGCTCATGGTATTCATTGGAGGAGCTGGGATAAACTTACCATTCCAAAACAAGATGGGGCTCTTGGCTTTTTGGACATCAAGTTGTTTAATAAAGCCTTAATTTGTAAGCAGCTGTGGAGGATTACAACCCAGCCGGATTTGCTTGTCAGCCGAGTTCTCAAAGAAAGGTACTATCCCAATTCTTCTATCTTCCATGCTGTTAAATCTCAAAGGGGATCTTGGCTTTGGAACTGCTGGCTTGATGTTCTTCCTCTATTCTCAAAGTGGCTCAGAACTGAAATCAGGGATGGAGCTTCCACTAAGATTGAGGACTTTAATTGGGTCCCCAACTTGTCTAAAGCCACACCTGATTTGCTGGAACTTGCTAGAGGTCACCTCATTTATGTCAAGGATTTGTTGCTCGACTCTGGTTTGGCTTAGAATGAATGGCTGATACAACAGGTCTTCAGTGAGGAAGATAGCAAGGCAATCCTTAACATTAAAAAATTGAGGCCTGGTAGAGAAGATAGATTGTATTGGGGTCTGGACAAGAAAGGACAATTTTCTGTGGCAAGCACTTACTCCTTTCTTGTTTCTCAAAAGGTGCTCATGCTTGATCAGCCTGAATGCAGCAATCCTAAATATTCCAGGAAAATCATCTTTAATAGAAGCTGGTCTCTGAAAGTGAAGATGAAGATTAAAATCTTCTTGTGGAAGTGTATCTAAGGGTCTCTACCAGTCTTAACCAACTTAAAAAAAAGAGGCATGGACATCGATGTCATTTGTAAGAGCTGTGGAGATAGTCCAGAAACCATTGAGCATTTGCTGCTGCATTGTCCCAGAGCATACACAACATGGAAATTGGCACCTGTCTCCTGGAATGGTACTTCACAACTCTCAGGATCTTTCAGAACTTGGTGGCATTCTATCTGTTCTATTGACCACTCAGAGGTGGCTGAGAGCAGGATTCAACTGACCACTTATCTCCTCTGGTGGCTGTGGAAGACCAGAAATCAATGGATCTTCCAAGGTTCCCAGCCATCTCCACACATTGTTGTCAAAGCAGCTGTTTCTTATTGGATGGAGTTTTCATCTTTACAGTATGTTCATATCTGATTTGGTTCTGTAATTTTCTTTCTTAGTCTGTTTGTGATTGTTATTAGGGCTTGTTGATTGCTAGGCTTTGTGGCAGTGGTGATCTTGTGTTCCTAATAGTTTGTTGTTGTAATGTTTTTGGTGTGTTTGTGTTGAGGCTCTAGGTCATCTTGTGGATGTACCTCTCAAGTTGTCTTTCCAGTCTGAACCTATTGTATTCGAGCTTTGCTCGCTATTCAGTTAATAGATTATTCTATCGTTTTGGAAAAAAAAAAAACAATCTTAATATTGTTTTCCCTGCATAGTATGGACCACATACTAGTTTTCCAAACAAAATCACGTCACAAAAAAATGACCAAAACAATAAACCCACGGAATAATTCCAATGTTGGGCTAAGAAAGATGAAAAAAGGATCACAATCATTTTTCCGTCTTCTGGTCATGCAACACTTGTTTGTAAGCGCACAACAAAGAGGCTCGCATGTTTGCTATCTCTATTAGCATTTCCAGAGCTGCCAAAAATGCCCAGAGCATGAATTGAACAGTTGAATTCAGTGCATGAAATATAAGCACACTTTAATTAATAAAATCATCTACGTCAGATAAGCCCTCATATTGGCAAGCTCAAGGGGAACAAGAGCATTCTAATAATACCGGTCTCGAATGACAGTTGAGTTGCACGAAGCTTAGGGGATACGAGTGTTCCGAACATAGAGAGGGATTTGGATCTTTCTCTTTGAGCCTGCCAAGTTCGTTTTCCAAAGATTTGATCAACTCTACTAGAATATTAAACAATATGACTTTAAAATTGCAAAATCCCAAATGGTAAAATAATATCAACTGCTCAATATATATAAGCATAGCTCATAGTGTTTACTGGTCAGAGGACAAGTGTGATAGAATTCCAAATGAATGACTCGTGTGAAACGAGCCAAAAAAAAAAAATTCTAATTTTTATAATATTAACGGGAATCAATAGTTGCATACTCACTTGAGCAACCTTGGTAAAAGTCCTGTACCATTGCAGGACGAAAACACTACATGGTGCAAGAAATAAGCCGTGACTCAATTTTACAAGCAAACATATACAAGAAACCAGCGACAAAACTATTCATGAGGCCATTGACATGGTTGACCAAATTATGCATAAGCCATAGCAAACTGCTGATTGAAATTCCCAAAAAAGAACCTTTAAAAGCAAAAATTTAGATATTATGTGGAAAAACAAAGGCATACTGGGGCTTTGAGGTGTATCATGATTATGTTCTCGTGGGCTCTCATTAGATTTGTTTTGCAACAACTCGTCCTCCTCAAATTTGGCTTCTTCAGAATGCTTCTCAGGATCATCGGAGGATGCCCATTTGCTCAGCGTGAAATGTGGCGACTCCATATTACGATCACCTGGAATGATAGATGTCAGTTCATTTATGAAGGCATGAAGCTCGTGCAATTTTAGTATTTGTATTGCCTCTTCATAAGTGGCGAACGAGAAATCCTTCAGCAAAGGCCTTGGAAGAGAAAGCTTCCGTAAAAAATCATATTTATTAAGAAGTGACCTTTCTTTTTTTGTATTTGTCGAATCTTTAATATGTATCCTCCCCCTAAATTAAACGAAATTGAGTCGCATATTAATTGTATGTAGGAAAGTTTCTGAGATTGAATGGCCCTCCAGCGGACCTCAAAGTTTCACCTCACTTCATTTACAAAGATTAAAAAAGGTTAAAGACAATTGAAGTACCGTTGTGTACTTGCAATGTCGTTGAAGCATGGTGAGATTTGAGGTCAAACAAGACGCTGCTCACACGTAAAGCACCCATTGACTGTCGGGAGCTGGCTAAATCCAGCCATCCCTACAAAAACGCAAAATTTAGGATATGATGTATCTAGCTCACACGTGGATCAACAAAGAATTAAAAACAAGTGCAATTCAAAGGCTCAATCACTTCACTTGTTCATCATAGAACACGAGCTGAAGTCCCAAATTTTCTCATAAGATGCCTAATATACTATAGAGGCAAACCATTTTCTAATATTTCATCAATTATTCAACGAGAGTTAACTGCACAAAATAAGCATTATTTCAAACCAATGCACACAAGTAAAACTTCACAAATCATAGCTGCATATAATTATTTTTGCTCTGTTAATAAATCTCTAGTATACTTCAAAATTAAGCATTTTCTTGAAATTGCAACCTCCAAGATCCCAACTCATTTCTCTCAAATTCTCAATCAACTGTGTTCCGGCAAGAAGATTCAAGGAACAATTGGGGTAAGATAAGTATCCATGGAGTCCAAGAAATTCAATATATGTTGTTCGCTTTCCACCAATTCATTGGTTGATTCAATCGTATTATTCGAGCTCTGCACATTTTTTTGTAGAAAAAGAATGCAATTTTGAATCCTTCGAGCAATGTTCAAACGTCTGATTTTTGAGTAATAGACGTTGGATCGTAGGTGTAAATTGTGGGTAATTCCAACTTACACCCCTCGACTCCCGTTAAACTTCTTCCCCTCTTATTTTTTTAATACTTCGTTGATTTTAATTGTATTTGTTGATATCAAATCCAGTAACAGAGATTGAAGATGGAGATTAATCATATTATTGAAGAAATAATTTCGCAAGAAAGTAAACTTACTACAAGTCGGTATGTATTGAAACAAATTATCGACTTCTGAAGAATTACCGACTTTCAAAGATCCGACTTTCAAAAGGTCTTCGAAAAGAACCGTCTTCACAAGAACCGACATCTAAAGCCAACGCAAGTAAACCGACTTCAGTTCAACCGACTATCACGAAGTTTGAATGTTCCAACAGAAAGTAATCATTAGAAGCATCTGATTGGACCAACAAAACAAAAAGGCAATCATTGGTGTTTCCCGCCGCTTCAAGTAAAGCAGCTCAACATTAAATGCATCTTTATCCATTTCAAGGAAGAAGACAAAAGCCACCGTACTATAAATAGCTGAATTTATGATAGTACGAGGATCCTTTTTTGAACACATTGTACACGAACTCAAGATAATCTCGGTTTTCAGCAAATAACCGACTTCTGTACTCTTGTGATTATAACAAATAAAAATCAAATTGAACAATTATCCTAGTTTTCTTTACACCTGCTGTGTTTAATGTTAAGTTGTTAACTCAAAATAACAACAGTTTGGCGCTAGAAGAAGGGCCGGGGGGCCGCTTTCGATTGTTTGTCTTGTATATGATATAATACAAGGATGTCAAATTCTGGGCGAAACGAACGTAATCCAGATGCTGGAGCTAATCGTCACCCAACTCACACAACTGGAAATTCAACCGTGCCATCTACATCAATTGATTATTCAGCTTTGTTTCAAGATCCGGAGTTCTTGAAAAATTTAACTGATTTCATGGCACGAACAAGAATAGAATCAACTGCAGCGGTTAATCTTCAAACTCGCCCTACACCAGTTTCACAAAGGAATGAAATTCCTGCTGCATCACATGCAACTTCCCATCCACGTACACATACATCACAACATGATATTGCAACTTGAAATCGTGGAGTAGTTCCTGTACGAACACATATTCCTGAAGCAGTTCGATCAGAAGCAACTGCAGAAAGCCATTCTGGGCATCGACCACGACAGCCTACTCCGTCGTTGCCCGAAATCTTACGACATGATCAACCCTCTGATTTACGACATACTCTCGAACAAAACCATACTCGTCGTGGGCAAAATGAGTTACGTCGTCTAATTGAAAGAAATCGTTTAAGGCGTGAATCAGAAGAGCTGGAGATACTTAGAAAGAGAATTGCTGAGTTAGAAACTCGGCAAGATGAACATGGAGAATCACCACGACAAATTCCAATGACAGAAGAAGTGTATCAAGAGGTTGGAACTCCTTTGGCCCCTCATTTGACTAGGGAGCCTATTCCAACTAAAGTAAAAGTTCCACAAATCGGCTTATATGATGGAACTTCCGATCCTGATGCTCATCTTGGTCAGTACACGTCTTGGATGGATCTTCATGGAGCAAATGAAGCACTCAGATGTCGGATGTTTTCCTTAACTTTGGGACCTCGAGCTCAAAAATGGTATCATTCTCTATCTCGGTACTCAATTTCCACATGGCAGCAATTGAGATCGGCTTTTCGCTCTCATTTTATCGGGGCCCGAGTTTCTTTAATTCCCAAAGAATCAATCGCAAATATTGTACAAAAAGATAATAAAAGTGTGAAAGACTATATTACTCGGTTCAACGAACGCATACAAAATATGGAGCAATGCCATCCTGAAACGCTATTGGTCACAGCCATAGCCGGATTGAAGCCAAATTCGTTGTTCCGATGGAGTATATGTCAGAATAAACCAACTTCATTTCAAGACTTTCTAGCTCGGGCTCAACACCATATTTTAGCCGAAGAATCAATGTCGGTTCCTAATATCGACTTTTCCTCGCTAAAGTCGGAAGTCGGGCAAGAGTCAAAAAAGAAGAAAAGTAAATTCTTCAAACCAAATAAGTCTCGATTTGGAAATCCAAAGATGCCTGAAGTGCAAGAAGCCAGGACTAAATATCTTAATGAAGTCAAATCTAGCTACCAGACGGTATTCTCGGCAGGAGCAGCAACTATATTTGAAGAATTAAAAGGGAAAGGAATTCTTCCTGATCCTCGACCTGTCAGAACTCCTGAAGAAAAACTTGATAAAACGAGATATTGCTCATACCATAAGTCGGCAGGCCATAATACTGATGAATGCCTTGGTTTACTTTCTGCCTTGTTGCGACTCATTGGACATCCTCAAGTCCAAAGGTTTGCTAAAAATGTTGATTACAAACGAAAAGGAAGAATGTCAGACTTACCAGATGATGACGACGATGAAGGACATCCAATTAATCCAAAACGGATCAGGTCAAGCGATAAAGAAATATACATGATGAACCAAGAAAAAAGTGATTTGATGACCGAACAAAGAGGATATTATAATCCTGACAATTCACACCATGTACCTCGGGTCAATAACAGTAGCAATACAATGTTTGAATCACGGCGGCAAATGAAGTCGTATGCTCGAAAGGCTTTTAACTCGGGTAAAACTGTTTTGACTACTGACCTCCGAGATAAAATTAATGCTCGAAATAATTGCCCGATAACATTCAATGTGGATGATGCTAGTTACTTTGCTCACCCTCATGCTGATCCTTTAATAATCACGGCACCCATTTGTGGGATACCGATACATTGTATGTTAGTGGACACCGGAGCATATTCAAGTATTATGATGTTACGCACGTTCGAACAAATGGGAATTGATCCAGCCGAGTTGAGACCCTGTAAAGATCAAGTACAAGGCTTTAATGGAACAGTTACGCCAACCCTTGGTGAAATTACTATGCCAATTCGGTTTGGAATCCCTGGACAAGCTTCCAAAGTAATTATGGAAACATTTAAAGTGATGGATCTTAAAAATCAATATAATGCCATCATTGGGAGGACTGCTTTATATAAACTTCGTGCAGCAGTCTCAATCTTTCATTATGCTCTCAAATTTCCCACTAACAACGGAGAAGGGACACATTACGGAGATCAGTACGAAGCTCGTGGAATGGTATGGGTCAAACCTTGGCATGAACCATGCAAACCATACACTTGATGGAGAATATCGAGGAAAGCCAAGAAGATTCAACACTCATCAACTCGGAATCATACAATACCGAGATGGAACTCGACCCAACAAAATCAAATAATGATCTGGTTTGTAATTGTGGACGACGTCCTGGAAAAGAACCAATTAAAGAAGAAGATGCACTTGATCCTCGAATTCAATTCAAGGAGAAAAGCAAACTTGAACGAGCTGAACCATCAGAAGAGGTTGAAGTAATATTCATCGACGATCCTGTCTGTCAAAAGTCGGTGCAAATTGGGGCCAATCTTCAAGAACCAATACGAACTCGGCTCATTCAATTCCTCAAAGCCAATTCTGATGTATTTGCTTGGAAACATGAAGATATGAAAGGAATTGATCCAAAGGTCGCTTCTCATCGACTCAATTTGGATCCAACAATTAAACCGGTGGTCCAAAAACGATGTAAACTGGGTCCTGATCGGCAAAAAGCTCTCGAAGAAGAAGTTCAAAAGCTGGTTGATAACAAGTTCATTCAAGAAACAAAATACCCGACTTGGGTATCAAATCCCGTTTTGGTGAAAAAGAGTTCCGGTGCATGGCGACTCTGCATCGACTTTACCGACTTAAATAAAGCTTGTCCCAAAGACAGGTTACCCTTTACCGCATATCGACTACATGGTGGATGCCACGATTGGACATGAATTAATGAGCTTCATGGATGCCTATTCGGGTTATAATCAAATTCCTATGGATCCTGAAGAAGCAGAACATACATCTTTTTATTCAGCCCGAGGATTATATTGTTATACCATGATGCCATTCGGTCTTAAAAACGCTGGGGCCACATATCAAAGATTGGTTAACAAAATGTTTGTCAAACTCATCGGGCATACTATGGAAGTTTATGTGGATGACATGTTGGTCAAGTCGGTCCATGCAGCCGATCACATTGATCACTTACAGAAAATGTTCAACATCCTGAGAGAATATTCTATGGTACTCAACCCGAAGAAATGTACTTTTGGAGTTGGTTCTGGTAAATTCTTGGGATATATTGTCACTCAACGCGGTATTGAAGCCAATCCCATGAAAATAAAGGCCATTATAGATCTTACGCCTCCCACGTCGGTAAAAGGAGTTCAAGCTCTTACCGGCCGACTTGCTGCTTTAAATCGGTTCATATCAAAGTCAACCGACCAATGTAAACCCTTTTTTGAATCCATAAAGAAAGGAAAGCACTTTGAGTGGACCAAAGAATGTCAACAAGCTCTGGATAAAATGAAGGAAACACTTCTTCAAATCCCGACTTTACAGAAGCCAATACCTGAAGAAATGTTGTATTTATATTTGGGAGTAAGCGATGCTGCAATCAGTGCTGTTCTTATTCGCGAAGAAGGACGTCAACAATATCCAATTTACTATATCAGTAAGGCCTTACATGAAGCCGAATTGCGATATCCAGCGATGGAGAAGTTAGCATATGCCCTTGTTATTACTGCTCGAAAGCTACGTCCTTATTTCCAAGAACATTCAATAACGGTACTTACATCTTATCCCTTAAAGTCGATCTTACACCGACCTGACACATCAGGGAGACTAATCAAATGGGCCATAGAACTCGGTCAATATGATATCCACTATAAACCGAGAACTGCAATAAAAGCTCAAGCTTTATCCGATTTCATTGCCGAGTTTACTCCCGCAATCGAGACAATCAATGAAGTTCAATCATGGACGTTGTATGTTGATGGCTCTTTAACTCAACATCGAGCTGGAGGAGGAATCATATTGATAGACCCTCAGAACAAGATGTTTTGTCATTC